TTTGGGAGAATGGGCAACTGGCTTCACCAGAGTTCTCACAGCACTGCACACTTCACAAAAAGTTGTGTTTTGTTTGAACATGTTAAATCCATACATCTTCTGTAAAATTGCGCACTATAATTTCTTAAAAACACTGCATACACAGCTGCTCCCAGGTATTACGGGGTTGTCACTCCAGCGCCTGAATAAGTTGCCTCTGATGGCTGACAGATTAAGAGCACTAGCATCATGGCTGAATAATAACTATCTCATGTAACTGTCTACATCCGTTGCTGCCATGATTTTTAATGACTTATTGCGTAAACAAGCTTATTCACACATGATTTGAATGTCATTTCTAATTTAAGGGAAACACAGAAATCGCAAAGATTGAATAGAATAAAGATAAATAAAAAAGATATACCTCATCAGCTGTTTTCAGTTTTTACTCATAGTGTACACCATATTGATTATAGCATAAAGAGCATATTTTACCAAGTTTATGCCTTTTTTTTGTTTTTTACAACAATAACTATATTGGGCAAAACCTATGCAAATTTACTGCACCCCCTCTTTGACATCCATAAACATCCTGTGAGAGTTATACATAAAATATAATTATTTTTGTGATCACAAAATGCCTTATTCTTTCAATTCATATGTTACATTTCTTTGATGTAGTTGTGGGTTTTCGACGTTAGCAGAATATAGACAAAGATTTGTCCACATTTGTAATGGAAACACAGCTACAGAACACTATTCATCCAGCAACCAAACATAATAAGAACCTAGAAAATCAGAGTAACTCTAGAGAGGATGGTTAGATGGGTGAATCTATTGACTGGACAGCTACTTGTCTCACACTACACATATTTGGCCTCAAGAAGGTGATAAGTAGAATGAAGTCTATTTGTTGAAGGAAGTCCCATTAATTTACCATGTTACCTGGAAAAGTCAGTCCTAAAACATGCAGGACAGCTGCTGTTAAGGACCGACTTATGACACTCTCCACTAATGCGAGGGTGAAACCTGGCAGTGGCAGCATCATGCTGTGGGGACGCTTTTGCTCAGCATAAACTCTGACAGGAATGCCTGTCATGAGGTAAATCATGGAAGAAAACTTGTTGCAAAGTGCAGTTACACTCTACTCCGTTACTACCAACTTTATTCTTTAGATCTATGCCATGTACTGGGAGACAGACTGCCAAACTGATCTGGACGCTTGGACCCACTGTTTGAGCCTTCAAAAGTTATACATCTTCTCTGCGTACAAGAAAATGTCCAGGAGTTTTCATTACTTTTTCAAGGAGTAGTTTTGTGAGGCGCCTGTCTAACATTCAAATGTCTTGCATTAGTGTTTGGTATTTAATCCATCAGTGAGTCTGTCTTTATTTGCACTCTGCAGAAACAATTAAGATAGCAGCAAGTTATTTGCAACAAGGAAAAAAGGTGAAGAAAAAAAAAAAAAAAAAAAAAAAAAAAACAACAGCGACTGGTATAAAGTGAAGACTTGCTAAACTGAGGAAATGTGCATTGTTAAAGACATTTACAATATTGTAAATTTGTCTACAATATTGGGTAAACATTATAATGTAGACATGATCTGCTAAAAGTTCTAAAATTATATCTTTTAAACTAAAACTGCAAAGAAAAATGCCTTTAAAACTAATAAGTATGATAAACTAAAAATCTACTTAGAAGTTAAGGTGCCAATGAAATTTACAAAAAAAAAAATAAAAAAAATAGCATAAAATAAGTTTAAGACGAAAGTAAACAATATCAATTAATACAATTTCACTAAATGCTTATCTGACTCGCTGAGGTACGTTTGTACGATTCTTCATCAAATAACTCCTAAAAAAAATATGATTGGTGCATGGTTAACACCTCCCGGTTGGAAAGTGTGATGTCATTTTTCATGTAAGAAAAGTGTGGCACTCTCTCCTTGATCATTTCGTACAAGCAAAGCAGAGAATCCAGGGAGGGAGAACCCTCGCAGATAGTGGCATGATGTGAGGGAGGGGTGTGTCCCAGGTGGACTATGCTGTTGTATAAAAGCATAGTGTGCAAATAAAAATGGTTTGCAACCATATAACTGCGTGTTTACTGTTCAGTTTCAGATGAAGCATGTCGGGATCTGAGTGAATGAGAAATTTTTCTCAGCATGGAGATGGAAAGCAGAGGAAGACTGCACTGTAATTCCTACAGCACCGCATGTAAACTTAAGGAGGTTGTGTTATGTTCCCGTTTCTACTTTTGTGTTTTCTGCAGTGCTGTCTTTTCCTTTTTGTAGCACAATGGCTGATCAGCAAATTACTGTAAAAGCGTAAATGCAAATCTTCTCCAGTCTCTAGTCATAAATTTTCTACAATTACAATTTACAATACTTGACATCAAAACTTTAGCCATAGTTTACAATAGTACATCCCTCCAGAGTTTATCCGTCCATTAGTTATTTAACCCTCGTATCCTTGCTGGGTCTTATGTCCAGAGGGTGAGAGGTACATTACACCCTGCACAGGTCACCCGTCCATCACAGATCTTTCTATAATACCCAGTTATGTTGAAAACATGACAAAGGAATTTGACTATCTTATCCTTACATAGGAACAAGGGCATGTCATTCTAACATCTGTGTCATATTCATTGACACAGATGTTTATTTTGAGAGTTGAGCTAATGATTTAGAGAAAGAGACTGGCTTTTGCAGACAGTCCATGGTCTTTTGCTGTTTGTACAAATTGTTTTGAGAAATACACTTACCGTTTTGCAAATGTCAAGGACCGTTCAAGAAATTCATCAACGCGACTGAGAAAAACTGTAACATTAACAACCATCTTGTTCGACTCTACACTTCTATCTTCATTAAAACAAGATCCAATAGTTTAAAACTTTAACAAAGTCCACCCACGCAAACACGCCTTGATGCCACTGACTGAAAACGATATCACCATGCTAAATTTAGAACAACGTACTGCACAAGTGCCGCAGCCATGTTGGTTTCGGACAAACAGGAGCAGTAAAGCCTGTTTGTCTCTTTAGTGAAAGAGTCGAATGCTATTCTGAACAGAGTTAAGGTAACAACAAAACACTGCTGCTTTGTTGTCTGCCAGAGTGACTCATGATGTGATGATCATCACCTTAAGAACAGTTTTTTTTTTTTTTTATAAATTCCACGTTGTAATCCCCAAAGGAATGCCAAAAAATGTCAGCACTGGACAGGAGCTTGAAAGCAAGAAGAGTTTACTGTGGAAAATCTGACCAAAGTCACTGTCATATGCTCTCATTTCATTGATGGAAAGAGGCCAACTGACTTTCGAGACCCAATAACAGGGACTGTAATGTCTGTTTATATGGCTTTTCTCACTCAATGACCAGTCAGTCACTAACCTTACAAAGCAAATGTTTATACCAATGGCCTGGCAACCTGTTTGTGGCAGTTTTATATAATAATGTGACATTCAATTAAATAAAACTTGCGATACTCACATTTTTATGAGAATTTATTGCCACAATTAATATATATAAAAAAATAGAACAAATGAAAAATTTATACTCAATATTGTGAGTGCATTGTTACAAAAAATAGTTTCCATGTGCGCAATGGAAGTAGGGAGAAAATAGAAATAATAATTATGACTTACAAAGTATACTAACATTACTAAAGTGGATTTTTTCAAAGTAATACGCAATAACATGCAATACATTTCAAAAATCAGGTTATTTTCCACTTTGTTTGTTGGTTTTCACTTTATTTGAGGCTAAAAGATATCAAGCTATGTACAAAAAGGAAGGATGTGTTTATTTTGCAAATGCACAATTCAACAAATAGTTCAAAGATTTTCAACAATGTTTGAGCTAAAAGCAGCACACCTGCAGCCATTATGTCAATGCAGAAGAGTTCTCTTGCATCTGAAGCTGAAGGATGACTTTCTTTTGTATGAAGCTTTTACAAAACTACTTATTTACTATTATGTCTTTCAGTTAATTTGATCTTAGGGTAGTGCAAAACAAAAAAAAGCACAGATTGTCATAACACCGACATTCTCAGCGACATGGTGCTATTTTACATTGCCATCAAGTAACTACAGTTGTCCTAAAAATGGTGTATTTATCAAAACTAACTTCAGACATTTAACTTCGCAATTTGTTGCCTAGAAATTGGACTCTGTTTCCAAAACAACTCCTATTCTTTCTGACACTCCACAGCAGGTCATTGTTCAATATTCCTGGAGAAGTAGTTTATGTCGTCCCCTTCCTAAAATATTGACCTAAGTAATTTTTGTCAATATTTTTGCCTAAATCATCTTTTGGCGCTATGTGAGGCAGACACTCAGTTGGAGACTGCAGTTCTGAGGAGGAGCTTTGGGAAAATAGGCAGCACATTGTATGAGCAGGCATTTAGGCACCCTCAAATGGGTGCCATGAGATATTCAAGGTTTTCTCCAATATGCATGAAAGAATCAAAACACCACTCCAGGTATGTCTTTAATGAGGGATAGACATTATAATATGATCTAAAGGTCATTTTTTACTTTGAAATATTTTTTTCAGATAGAATTAAAAGCCATCTACGAAACAGCAAACGTCAGGAACCCTCCACACCTCCCCCCCCACCCAAAAAAAAAACAAAACAAAAAAAAACACTGTTGCACCAAATATTATTTGTAATATTTCATATATTACACTGTTGGTTCATGGCACAAAAACAAGACAAAAATCAGCAACAACCGAAAGGAGTTTTAAAAAAGTTATTACAATTTGCCAAACCTGCAAAACACCTTGAACAAAAAATATATTTTTTTTAATTTTCACATTTCAAATTCCTTTATTTGTGCCAGTAAATTTCATAACTTGTGTATCCCATAGAAATATGATGTGTTTATTCATCCATATATGTTGAGATATTTTGTGGCTGTGGAAACAATTTTTTTAAATTTCATTTTATTTTGAGTTGTAGCAAAACATTTCTAAAAGTTTGCATGCTAATTAAAAAAACAAACAAAAAAAACAAAACATGTAAGTACAATTTTAAATGTTCTTCATAACTGTAAATACATACAAATAAAATACAGGTTACACGTGTTACTTATAACATGCTTGAATTCAAACAATAATGCTTTCAGAGTTAAAGTGAAAAGGGACAATTGTTCCAAATAGCACAAAAAACTTGAACATTTGTTGAGGCAACACTCTACAAAACATTGTGACGTGTTAAATCATAAAAGAACTGAAACAAATATCTGACATTCTCGGAGGTCAAAATATATCGGCATTATTTTCTTATAGCAACACCTAAGCAATAAAAAAACAATTGGTTTTTGACTGTTTCCCAGTGTTGCATTTCAGCAGACCAAATATCGAAAAAGGTGTTGCAAGAAGAAGCTTGACAAATATTCCACCAGAGTACATGACTAATGTTATGTGGTGCTATTCTTTACCATATTGAGGGCTGAGTGCATGTATGTTAGAGGCCAGCAATGATGCTCTCACAGTTTTCAGTTCTGCGTTAAGATGAAAACATAGTTGCCACGGTGCCTTTGGTCCAAATATTTCTTCAATATCCCCACACCACAAGGAGAATAAATAGAGAATGTGAGAAATCACAGAGTGGGTAGTGCAATACTTAGAAACGTCCTATCCGTTAAGCACAGTCTGCTAGAGAATATCAACATAATTACTTGTATTTATGTCCTTCAAGTGCAGCTCCAGAACCGATGAATTCACCATGCAGCTTGGGTACGCAAAGACAATCGGAGCAGAGTTTGCTTCATATTCTTTACATCCCTTTAAAACAGTAAGTTAATTATGCAATCTCAATTGTTAAAACAGCCACATTGCCACTCTTTGATCATCACAGGCGTTGATTAAAGCACATCTGAAACAGATGACAGCTGCTCGTTATCACGCTCAAAGCCCCTGGATCCATTCGCAGTGCTGGCATCTCAAGCACCTCATGTTCATCCTCTGAAGAAGGTGAGACAATCCATTAAGGGAAAGGCATAAACACTCAACTCTGGGAACCTGATTGTTGGCGCTGCCCCCCATCCAGCCCACCTGACTGCAGCACACTGATGGGTTTATACAAGACAGCTCAAGTCCTATGAGATGGGAAATTGAAAGAAAAGAAGACAAGTGGGAGTAAGGCTGAATTGCTGAAAGGCAGAAGCACAATTTTTACAGATTAAAGACATAAACCATGGAATTATGAATAATAATAATAATAATAATAATAATAATAATAATAATAATAATAATAATA